TAAAAAAAAAGGTCAACTGACCATGATTAGGCCTTGATTTACATCAATGTGCACTTCACGACTTTATTAATTGAGAGGACACAAAAAACTACTGCATGTGCGCCAAAAACGAAAAAAAAAAAAAGAAACTCGGCATTTCGTACACAAATCAGTAAAAATGCCTTTTAAAATAGGGAAAATCATTCAAAACGTCCCTCACATTTTACAAGATGACTTTTTTCATCCCTCACTTTTAAAAGTGTAATTTTACGTCCCTTATAAATTCACATTGACCAAATTTGGTCCCTACCTAGGTTTTTGACTAGATTTTTGCCGGAATCCACCATGTGATTTGCATGTGATCATTTTTTAAGGGGCAAAATTGTCAAATCAAATTTTTACATAATCTGATTCATAGTCTCTCACATTTCATAAAATGAATTTTTTCGTCCCTAACATTTTACAAAATGAATTATTTTGTTCCTTATATTTCAAAAAAAATGAATTTTTTCATCCTTCACATTTTTCAAAATGAATTTTGTCATCCCTCATTGATCATGTGTATGAATATCTTTTTTTCTATAAACCCACGTATATGTCTATTTGATTTTATCTGAACAGTACAAATAACATGTACTTTATCTCTATTAAATTTCATCTAAACATGCTAATCGTAGTTATACACATGTTATTCAATAAATATATATAGGGGTTTAAAACTAATAATTTTGTTTGAAACCCATGTATATATTTATATGATTTCACCATTTGAACCTATTCAATATTTGTGACATATCTCTTTTGGTAATAATTTATTTATTGAATTATATAATAAGATCATCTAATTAATAGGTCCTAACTTGAATTCTATAATTGTGTTAACAAATTTCAGTTTAAATATGAAATTTCTACTCAACACTTTTAAGACCAACAGTTAAAATTACTTGCCTTGTGATTGTCTTAAAATTTGAAAATGTTAATCACTTATTTCTTTTTGTCATACTTTTCTTTTGTTTATTTTTTCTGTCCAAATTTAATTGGATATAAACACTCGATAATATTTAGGATTAAATGTCTTCTTTATTTTCAAATTTTGAGTAAAAGAAAATGAATATAAATGAAAAACTAACAATTTTTTTAAATCCATGTATATATCTATTTGATTTCACTTGAGCAGTACGAATAGGATGTAATATATCTCTATTTGATTTCCCATACTATTCGTACTATTCAGGTGAAATCAAATAAATATATAAATGGATTTAAAAAAAATTATTCACACACATGATCAATAAAAAATGAAAAAATTCATTTTGAAAAATGTGAAGGATGAAAAAATTCATTTTGTGAAATGTAAGGGACGAAAACATTTATTTTATAAAATATGAAGGATTATGAATCGAATTATATAAAATTTGATTTGATAATTTTGCCTTTAAAATATGATCACGTGCAAGGCACGTGGTGAATCCGACCAAATACTAGTCGGAAATCTAAGTAGAGACCAAATTTGATCAATGTGAATTTGTAAGGGACGTAAAATTACATTTTAAAAGTGAGGGATGAAAAAAGTTATTTTGCAAAATGTAAGTGACGTTTTGAACGATTTTCTCTTTAAAATATATACTCGAAAATTGTACCCTTTTGATTAAATACAACTCCAAGAACACAATTGTACAATTTTCCAGTTAATCTAGCAAATACTACGTAATAAGAGCTTCAAAGGAAAAATAACATGATTAGGCCTTGATTCACATCAATGTGCTAAATTTTCAGGCTATTTGTTACAAAAGAGCAGTTGTTCTAATTTCTGTTTCTGGTACCGAAGATACTAAACAGTCTAGAATTTCACCCTTTTTATAAATTAGGGCTCCAACTGCACCTTTCTCACTAATTTTCCATCGTATAATCAACTCAAACCATTCAAAAACACCCATTTTCATACGATATTTCCTCCTACAGGAAGACCTTACTCCATTTCAATTGGGTTAATCATCAAGCAGAAGCAAAAGCAAAGAAGTCATAAGGTCTTAACAATACTAATCCACCAAAACCTAGGAAGTTGCAAAAAATTAAAAAGCCAATCCTTTTCATCTTACCTAGCTCGTTGGAAGAGCGAAACTGTTCGAGAATTTGCGAGATGTTAATCCGACTAGCTTCGGAGACATTTATGTTCTCTTGTGGCTGTCGGCCTTTCCGCTGTTTTTTCTTGCCGGAAAATGTCGCCGGCGTAGCTGCCCCGCTCGTTGCCATGAATTTCAAATTTGTCTGTTTCTTTGCCTTTCTTTTTCTTTTTTTTTCTTGGGTTTAAGTTTAAGATTTAATTGGGGGAGAAAAGTAAATGGGCTAGAAATACAAATGGGCTGCAGCTGGCCTTCGACATTTTAGAAATGGGACCTGTTCGATAGTAGTACCCTACATGGAAATTTTAGGGAAGTTTGGGTAATTTTTTTTTCTTTTTTTTTTCCGGGAAACGTTAGGAGAGGGAAGTTTGGGTATTGGTAATAGGAAAAATTGGTATTCATAGGAAGGGCACAAGTTTGAAGAAATTTGAGATTGGGGAATGGAGTATTGTTCAACCCCTTAAAATATTAGTATTCTCTACCTTATGGAATTACCCAAACACACATAACTATTAATCAGGCTTAAATTACTTCCTATTTGTAAGAAAATTACTTCTAATTGCAAGAAAAGTACTTTACAATTGTCAAAGATTTACGACAAAACGGGGTAAAGATAATTGGAAATTGTATTAAATTTTAGATAATCAACCTTAAATTGATTGACAATCATAAAAATATTACTCCAAAATTGTATAAAGTCCACTACTAAATATAAAAAAAGTTCACAAAATTGTATGAGATTCTAGTCAAAGATTGAGCCACACCGACATCTCTTATCCACTCCATCACCTCGATTTTCATCCCCCCCCCCTCCCCCCCAATATTTCACATTTTGTGGAGTATGAGATTGTATGGATGTCAATTTGGTGCGCAGTTGAGAGTTGGCTAGTGTAGTTACTAGCAAAAAATGGTATGTCAGTAGTCTGGATTAGCTGTTTTGGAGGTGTTTTTGAAAAATTTTACCCTCTTCAACAACCGCAAATAACATACACACCCAGCCCATAAGCAAAACCCATAAGCGAAAAATTTTACTGTAGCAGAGTTTTTATAGTATATTTTTCAAAATATTTTGGAATATTTAAGAGTATAAGAGTTTTCAGAATATATTTTGGGATAAAATATTAGACTACTTTTTTGAGTACTTTTTGATGTAGTACTTTTTAAAAATAATATTTGAAAAACTAGTTTTTGAAAAACTCTTGAGTCCAAATAAAGTAGGTGTTACTAAAGAAAAACAAGACCACCAACACAAATGAAGGTTTTTCCTTTTCTGTTGAATCGGTGGAGCAATTGGTCATTTTGTCTACAAAATATTTTTCTCCAGGTTGATGAATAGTTACATATGCCCTACTTACAAATCTTCACTATACTAAAAGTGCGAGTTGGAGTTGCTACAGTGCTCATGGACCGGTTATCCGGTAATTTTGAGCAACTTCGGTGGCATTTTCATAGACAGATAGACTGGTTAAGCTGTAAATTTCGACAATTCCAGTGGCATTTCATAGACATTTGTTTGGGCTTGCCCTCTTGCTCCAGAGTTCAGACACTAGAATTCTTTCCCCTCTCCCTTCGGTGGCAATTTTTAGGAAGCAAATATGTGCCATACATAAAGCTCGATGCCCTTTACGGTGTTGCATTGTTAGTTCTTTCTTCTTCTTTTTAATTTTTGTTTGCCTTTATTACAAAGGATAAAATGGATTTATTCTGTAACAAAATAATAAAACAACAATTTTACTATAAATTCGAATCTTCCCGTATTTTTACGTTTAATTTCTCCATGTTTATCTACTATATTTGACACACATTTCTTCAATTTTTTTTAATTAACATCACCCAAATTAAGCCCATGCACTTGTCTCGCCTATAATACTTCACTTTTATTATTACAAATATTTTTATTCTAATTAGTTATATACACATCTGAGTGTGCCTTAATCACTATTATGTATAACAAGAAAAGATTTATTGAACATGTTTGAACTAATTCTTGATAAGAAATTTCAAAAAAGTAATGTACTACCTAACCTTTAGCTTTAGATACTTTTATTCGTATTTTCTTCATTCAGAGTTTTAGCTCTCTTGCCTATGTAATCTTGAGAGAAAGCCATCTGAAAAGCAACATATTGGATGTGTTTCTTTCTCCAATTGAAGACCTGGATTTGGCGGTTTTACAAGGTGAAGTTTTTATACTCTCACCTAGCTTATTTTGTTTAAACTTATTTCATTCTTGATTAGATACAAATAGTGTGTGCATAATTTTAAAAGTAATCAGCGTCACCATATCTATGATATTTGTATTTACTTGTACGTTTTAAATGAATGCATCATTTATTTATAGTATCAAGAATTCACAAAGATCTTAAGCCAAAGACTGACTATCTAAGAGAAAATTACAAATCAAATGAGTAAATGAGTAACAGCAATATTAAATTTACCTAAAGTCAAATTCTCCACATTTATTAACACCTATCATGTATTAAATATATAACCATTTTACATTAATCCACTTGCTTTCATTTGATCTTGATTAACATAGACCAACTAAAAGGGATAAAATAAAACATTGAGGGAAAAAGGCAATTTGATAGAAAGAAAGGACAACACCAGTAAAGAAACATTAACAGTTTTCATTTGAAGGAAATACAAATTCACATTAAAACAAGATATCAATCCTTTCGGTAAATACACCAAAAGAGGAAGAAGACTCAATTTACTCAAATAATACAAGAACTACTGCAAGGGAAAAATAAAAATCTAATTAATAATAAAGATCCCTCTTGATTAATCTTGAACATGGGATTAATCTTCATGGGGATAAACCAAAAAGAAGGGGTGCACGAAACAGGAAAATTCCCCTGCAGCTACAATGGTTCAATTCTATGTTGCCCAAATAATAAATCAAAATCCAGCCATAAGAGGAATGGAAAAGTCTGAATTTCCAGCATCGCCACTCAGGAAATCTCCAAACTGCAAAAGTTCTGCCATGGGATCATCCATTTCAATGTCTGTTTCCAAAGGAATTTGTGGAAATTCATACCCTGTACGGAGGGGGTTTTCATAACTGGAACCAATTGGATCGCTGTTCTGCAATTGGGGCAGCATATCAAAATCAGAGTCAATTGGGAATTGGCGCCTCACCTCAAAATCAGTAGAAACTTCAGCCCCTTCACCAGAATCACCGGAAAATTTCTCCCAATCAGTGCAGAGTTGGTCCCAATCACTAAAATCAGTGGAAGACTCCTCCCAATCAGAAAACCCACTTCCAAGAAATCTTCTTTTCTGCGAAATTTCCTCCTGATGAGGCGACTGAATCAAAGTAGAAGTTTTTTCATCCTGATCAGGGTCAAGATCAACAAAATCCAGAACCTTTCCAGGGTTTTCAGTTTCTTCGTGATCGAGAAAATCAATAGCATCAAGATACTCTGCAGTAGAAGTTTTTTCATCCTGATCAGGGTCAAGATCAACAAAATCAAGAACCTTTCCAGGGTTTTCAGTTTCTTCTTGATCGAGAAAATCAATCGCATCAAGATACTCTGCAGCATTGTCAACTTCATACTGATCAAAGTCGAAAAGATCAACAGCATTATCCATCTTATCAATTTCAGCAACATTTATTGCCGCTGCACCATCCTTAACCATCCTTTCCTCAATCTTGTTCTTGATTGCTTCAATTTTACTGTCCAATATCTTAACCAACTCGACAGGATCAATTTCTCCATCTGTTGACTTCTCCAGAGGGTGCTCTCTGTTCTCGGCTGACAGTGATCGAGCTTGTTCTTTTTCAGAATACTTGTCAATAACAGATTGAACATCATTGTGGTTCTCAGGCCAGGTTTGGATTTTGCCACTAGGCTCAATGATCACCACACAAACTGGTATATCACACAGCAATGCGAGCTCCATTGCCTTCTTCTTGATTCCAGCAACCCTGTTCTTGCAGACTTTGAAGGATACCTTAGAATTCAGGGATTGCTTAGACTTCGAACTCTTCAGTGCCTTCTTCTCCATGGTTGCATACGAGAATTGAAGCAGGCGTGAGTTTTACGGAGAAGAATTGAAGCAACGGCCAGTTGAGTTTAAGTACGACAATTCGGAAAGAATAAGAATTTGGAAAGTAGGAATTAGAAAGCGGTATGTTATGTAAAATATTGTCCCAAGACTGTTTGTAAACTAATATTTGTTTATTTATTTATTTATTTCTTCCCTATGGGAGAATTGGCAATGAACTTATTTAAAATAGTTTGAACTTATTTTAAGCATTTTTTTTAGTTAAGAAATTTTAACTTAAAAAATCTTGATGATTTTACCTTTGTAATTTTATTTGGTTGGTGGTTTTGCAAATTCCATAATTTTATACATAAAAGTTTACTTTTCTTTAATGTAACGAAATTAAATTGTCTAAACAATAGATATGATGATAAAGTACGAATGCAAGAGATAAAGGTATAAACAACCAAGGGATGGAACTCAATAAATCACACAACGCAAAATAAATAGAAAATCTCTTACAAAATGACAATGCATATATTCTATCATGGTTATAAAAAATATCTTACTTGCTGCTATAGGTTAGATTGAGTGTGGGTTTTTAAAATATGCAACAAAGTTAAAATGGATTGAGTTTAAGAAAAATTAAGCTTAACCCAATGTAAGCCCCCGTGCGCGCACACACACTTATATATAATCTTTTTCCAATAATTGAGGAATACTCAAAAGGTTTTGATCAATTTCTGGAACACATAAAACATCAAAAATTAATTTCAAACCTGTGTACCCTTCAATTGCCGGTGTTCCTATGCCTTTTATAGCAAGATAAGCCCCATTTCCAATCCGGACTCTAGTAATAGCAGTTTTATCAAGCTTTTTGAAAAGCTCTTGATCATAAGTCATGTGTTTTGTAGAACCACTATCTATAAGCCAGCTTTCCACAGAGCTATTAGTGGCGAAACATGAACCTGCAAGCAATTGCTCCTCCTGCGGTTAATTCTCTGCAGCCTTGGCTTCTCCTTGTTGCTGTTGAGACTTGCATATCTTTTTCACATGCCCTAACTGACCACATTTGTGACATCTTACATCTAGGTTCCACCAACACCTTTTTTGTGGATGATTGGTTTTTTTACAATAAGGGCAAAGTGGAAATACTTGAGATTTGTTGTTTCCAGGCACTTTTTTGTTGTTCTTCATGTTCTTGCCCCTGTTGTTGTTTGTGATATGGCTTGAAAGGCACCTTCCACTGATTCTTCTTGCCTCATCAGCCTTCTTTGTTCTTGTGCCTGTAGTGCATTTAACAATTCTGCCAAGGTGATACATGACAGATCTTTTGAGTTTTCCAAGGCCATGGTTGTAGGCTCAAACTTTTCAGGAATTGTAACTAGAATTTTTTGAACTATTCTAGAATCAGAAAAATTAGTACCAAGAAGTCTTACTTTATTGACTATGTCAAGGAGTCTATTAGAATAGTCCTTGATAATTTCTGATCCTTTCATCTTCTGCATCTCAAATTCTCGAATCAAGTTCAACACTTGCATCCCTTTGCTTTTTTCATCTCCTTCATATTCATTCTTCAAGAAATTCCAGATCTCATGCGCCGTTTTCAATGTCACGATTCTTGAAAAGATTGTGAATGTGACAATTGCATATAGACTTGCTTTGACTTTCAATCTCCTTTGTCTCCTCTCATTATGGTGTTTCATTTGAGCAATTGTTGGATTGTTTAGAAGAGGAAGTACTTCATAATCATCTTCTATAGGCTCCCACAAATCATTTCTACCAAGACAGGCTTCCATTCTAACAGCCTACATTTGATAATTTGTTCCATCGAATATGGGAGGTCCAAGTTGATGAGTAGAGGAAACCTCTGGATTCATTGTAATAAGGGTAAATGTTTTAAAGAAGGTGTTTAAACTCTCAATCCTCATAAATCCCTCAAGATGAAAGCTCTGGTGCCACTCTGTTAGATTATTAGAGTAGAGAAAGTAGAACAAGAATGAAACCCTTTGTATTGCAGAAGTCACATTTTATTGAGTTATAAGCCATGCTTTTATATAGCATAAAGAAAACAAAATTAGAGAAAAACTCTAGAAAAAGATCTGCTAGGGATAAGATCGTAGAATCATAATCATAACAAATATTTTTACTTATCTATTGCTTAAAAAATAGCAAAGTGAATAACTAATTATTGCAATCTGTTAGCAGTTCCACAAATCATGCTATTCAACAGTTTTTCTTAAACATTTTGCAATCTATTCATTGATTCTGATTGAATTGCTCATGCTTGCAATTTACATCTATGTTTTAAAATTCAAACTAGACCGGCTAGTCCGACTAGGAACCGGCTAGGCATCTAGTTTTATTAAAGTTACATCCACATCTTGAATTTCACATGTTCCGGTTTACATTTCACAAGTTTTTTTTTCAATATTTTATCAATCTATATATTTTGCTTTTTTCTCTCTGTTTCTCTCTCTTTTCTTTTCATGGTTTTGTTTAGTTAAGTTGCTATATAACATTATTGAGATTTAATCTAGTTTTATTAATTCTTTAATGGAATACCCTCCTCTTATTATTAACTGACACGTAAAATCTTTTCTTTACTTTACTTTAATTTTAACGAATAGACATGAATCCCTTTTTTATAAATATTGGATAATATTTTAATGGTTTGTCTCCTTTTATTATCCAAAAAAAAAAAAAAGGAATAGCCATGGATAGTGAGGAGTTGTCATTTGATTATTTTACTTTACTTTAGATTTTGAAATTAAGCAAATATATTTGTTAATGTTCTTAGTTACTTTTGCATATGTCTAGGTTTTCAATAACTGAAAGATAAGAAAATACAAAATATACCTAGAGTGACTTTGGTAGATTTTCATTAATCAACATTTTGAAGAATCTACACTAATTAAGAACAATCCCATTACTTTGTATTATGTTAAATCTAATTTTGGATAGTAGATTAACCATGATACTATGATTGTTGTTAACTTCATGTTCTAATTTAATTGAAGCAAAATAATCTTTTTATACATTATCCGGATTCGTCGAAAGAAAAAACATGAAAAAGAATGAGAATGTTAGATATTTTTCAGGATCACAAAAATTAAGAATTTTTGCAATTCATAATTCATGATCACAAATTTTTTTTTTTAAAAAAAAAAACCTTTTCGCAATTTATAGGAAGAAAGCAAATGTTTATCATGTGTATTGAACTTGGGTTATAAAATGAAAACATGTTGAAGTTGGTTACAAACTTGTAAACACGTCAACTTTGCATGCAAAAACGCTATGAGTTTACATGTATTATATATGTGTTCTATCCTCTAAACCTCTCAATTGCGAGACGGAGTAGGTAAACAAAAAAATTGAATTTTTTGAGATTTAATTGGTAAAACATACACAAAAGCATTTCATTTTGTCTGGTAGGTCAAAACTTTTATGGAGAAAATTTTCACCATTAAACAATTTCGATGAGAGTCATACATATAAATAAAGTAAAATATATTCAGAGTACTTCTACGTCATTCATGTGTCAGAAATTACTTATTTTCCTATAAACCAACACACCGTGTGAAACTAGTCAACCGTTCAATTCCTGTAAGTCAACACACCATGACACACGGATACGGTGGTGGGCATAAAAATGAAGGAATGGTGGCTGGTTATAGATCGTATAGATATATGCTTGGTCAATGTTGTAGGGATAACCCTAATTAGATTGGTAATAAGCAATGCAAACTGTCTCTTCCTTTTCGGTAGATTACAGAGGATTTCTTTTACGGGTGTTGAAAAAATAACCGCTGCTATGCTCAAATATGGGACCAAACTAAAATTTTATTGTCCATGGACGTTTGAACATTCTTAGAACTACTAGAAATAGTTTTGAAAAGTAATTGAAAGTACCATCAGAAGAGATAATGAAGAAGTGGTTAGTTTACTGCATAATTTCTTATATTCTCTTTTTTCCAATAAAAATGAGGACCTACAGTACTTTCTAAATTGAACTTAAGAAATATGAGAAGAAGTTACATTATCATCCAATCTTACATTAAACCATGAAGAGATCCCTTCTACCAATCGACACTCAAAACCTGTTTGCGTTTTAAGGACATCCATGTATAAAGCAACTGAATCATGAATTATAAGTAGAATGGAGCTAAGAAAGAGCAAAGCATGATAGGCAAGGGCTAGTACTTGAGCATGATTGGTGAAGTTAGGTCCTATTCGATAATCCAATTCAGCACTTAAATTTAATGGATTCAAATCTTTTTATATTCAAACCGTTTGATAGCTAAAAATTGAATATCTGAATTAATTAAGTGGCACTGAAATTTTTAGGCAAAACTTACTCCCAAAAAATTAGGTGATAAGTTATTCACTGAATGTGATATGCACTCAAATATATTAGATTTAATATTTAACAGTTCAATAAATTAATGGATTCATACTTTAATTTTATCAAGCGCACCCTAGTCTCAGCTAAAATAGTTATATAAATGAAAGATGCTTCTAATATCTTAGATTGTAATGTGAGGGTATCAAATAAAATTGAAGCTAATAATGCATTTTTTACCTAGCCCCATCTAAGTTTTGTATGGGGCCTTCTAGACTTCTAGTGAGTAATCTTGGCCGTGACTATTGACTTGTTACAAGTTCATTTGTTGTTATCGCCACATCTGCTACCTTAGCTAGGGTTCGATAAACAAAATTATGAATTCACCTAGGAATGGCAACGGGGCGGGGGACCCCTCCCCCGTCCCCCGCCCCATTGCCTATTAGTTCCCCCCGTCCCCCGCCCCCGTCCCGCTTCCCCCGCGGGGGCACCCGCGGGGTTAATATAATTTTATTATATAATTTTATTATAATTAAATTTTAATAAATAATCAAGTACTAAAATATCAACACATCACCAAATTATTATTCATTGTAATTTTACAATTGAAACTCATAAAAACAATCAAACAGAAGTTATTTGAATACAATCCAATATGATGAAATAAATATAACTAAAA